ACTACAGCCACCCCTGTATTATCATTTCAACATGATAGATAGGGTTAAACAAAATAATTATTTAAAAAATTTTAAGATTTTTAAAAATTGAGTTTTAGGGAGAGAGGAAGCAGGAGGGAGGCGCGCAAGGGGGGAGAGAGAAACATCGATGCCAGAATGAAATATTGATCAGCTGCCTCCTGCACGCCCTCCATGGAGCATGAAGCCCGCAACTCCCTGTGCCCTGACCTGGAATCAAATCGGCAACCTTTAAGTGCAGAGACAATGCCGGACCAACTTGAGCCATATTGGCCAGGGCTACATTATTAAAATTTTTTAAAGACATGTTTAATACAGCACTCCATAGTATGTATATGTGGAATGAAGCAGTCAGACCTAAGCTTGGAATCTGGACTCCACTTACTTGGTCAGGTAACTTCACCTCGCTGGGCTCAGTTGATTATTTTTTCCCTGTAACATGGGGATAAATAGTAATCCTCTAGGGTCATTGTTAATTCAGACCACTCTCTTTAAAGAAAAGCGCTCGGTGGGACCAGAGGGGGCATCTCCCTCCAACATAAAATGTGCATCCTGGCCACGGCTTGTTGGGCTCCAGATCCAGGGTCCTGTCCTTGGCCCTAGGGTGTTTCTCTTTGAATTTCTATAGTTTCCCCACTCCTAGCAGGTCTAAAGTGGGTCTGTTTTTCTTCTCCTTTCCTTTCCTCCGCTCCCTGCCAATTACACAAAATAAAAGCTGGCCCAGTCTCTCAATCTGCAGCCAGCTTCCAATTACGCCTGGAAAGAAAAGAAAAGTAAAGAAAAAAAGAGCAACTCCCTATTTCTCAGGATTAGAGGCAGTAATTCTAACCTCACAGCATCTTGCTTCATTTTTTTTTAAACATATTTTTATTGATTTCAGAGGAAGGGAGAGGGAGAGAGAGAGAAACATCAACGATGAGAGAGAATTATTGATCGGCTGCCTCCTGCATGTCCCCTACTAGTGATCGAGCCCACAACTTGGGCATGTGCCCTTTACTGGGTTTGAACCCGGGACCCTTCATTCTGCAGGCCAGTGCTCTATTCACTGAGCCAAACTAGCTGGGGCTCTTGCTTTGTTGTTTGGCTGCTTATATTGTCTGCTCTACACCATCTGTCTTTTTCACTGCTTGACCCAGCACCCAGCTCAGTGCCTGGCTTATATAATAGAAAGTGCTGCTTGCTAAGTGAAGAATGAATGAGATAGCAAATGGCCCCAACACAGGTGTCCAGTGAGGATCAGTGACATCCTTGCCAACTTTCATGTTAGGGACATACCTGCTTCCTTACTGCCGACACCCCAAGCTGGTATGTCAGAGGTATCCAGAAGAACTGTGTGGAAGGGGTGAATGAAGCTTAGCAGTTTCTAATGATAGGATAGGACACTCTCCTCAGGGCCCACCAGTCTCCCTTTTGAAGTCACCCCTGCCCCAGCCCCAGCCTCACCTGGCCCCCACAAATCAGTAAGAGCAGGAGAAGCATAAGAAGTGAGGCCAAGGCCGAGACCAATGCCCGCAGCCTGAGTTCCCTCACCCTGGCCATCAGTGCGCTGCCCTCTGGAACAAAGTGGCTGGTTAGCCTGGGGGTGGAAGCCCCTCCAAGCTGCACTAGGAGAAGGGACCAGGGCCAACCATATTGGGCACACACAGACACAACCCATAAACCAAGTCCCTGAAAGTCCTGTCAGAGGCTGGCAAGACACCTTCCCCTCCCTCCTCGCAGCCTTCCTCTAGTTGCTTGGCAACCACTGTGGATCTGGGCCAGAGCAAGAGGCAACAGGGCATGACAGGAATCCAGGCCCAGCAGACAGGAGCTGCATTATGGGGAGTAGAGAGAAGGGTCCCTAGCTGCTTTTCTCGGTGGCCACCTGAACTGGTGGGACCTTGAGGCACCAGAGGTTCAGGAAAACTGTAGGTAGCTCCTGGGGATGAGGGGATTTTAATATGCAAAAGCAACTGCAGAAGGACTCCCCCTTCAGCTGGTGGTACTTCTCCAGTATTTGTCCTGATGATCCTTTAGGCCTCTGCTCAATGGCCCTCTGCTGTCAGGGAAGGGATTGTCCCCCGTTCCTTCACAGTTTTAAGTTAATTTTCCTGACCAAAAAGAGGCAAATGCCAGGGCTCCTTGACCCTCCATCACCTCCTCTATAAAGTGGGCCCACGTTGAGCACCTGGGAAGACCCTCAAGCAGAGAAGTAAGAAACAGCCTGCAGAGGAGTCCACTCCAAAGGGAGCCGTTGGTATTTCCCCTCACAGACCCACTGCCCACCAGCTCCACAGTGGCCATCTGTGTATACCCACTAGGGCTTTTCACAGGGGCCCTGCCCACCTCCCTGTTCTGCCGCAGCTGCCCTGCAGGCCCTGGGGTGTAATCAGCCCCGGAGTTTGGCTCAGCTCCAGGCTGGAGACCACCCCCATTGGCTTCCATTGTCGGGACTGGCGACAGCACTGGTGACCGGGAGGCAGGAGGATGCTTCTGTCGCCACAGCTGCACTCATTTCACACGTGATGAGAAAGTCGGAGGCAGCTGTACAAACGGAAGAGGCCTCTCCTCTCCCGGTGCAGCCTTGACCTAAATATGCGGCCCTCCTCACAGACCGGAGCTGTGGTCCTTGGAACTGGGGGTTTTCACACAGAGCTTGGGAACATCTTGTCTCCTGCCCGGACTTGGTCCGGAGCCAAGTCCAAGAACGCGCACACCCCGGTCTGACAGGCGCTCTGGGTCCTCAGCTTCCCCGCCCTCCTGCTCAGGCGGCGCTGGAGCTAACGGTGGGCGGGAGGGGGGACTCGCTCGCCCGGGACCGGGCTGAGTCTGGATAACCTACACGTCTTGGCCGCGGCCCACGGGCGGGGAAGGAGGGGCAGCGGGCCCGAGGCTGGCCCGGGGTCGCCACGCCGCGTCCCCACGCCCGCAGCCACGCGGAGCCGCAGGGGGCCCAGCCTCCCCCGCCGGGACCGCAGCCGCGGGGCCCAGCGTCCCCCTCCCCTCCCCCACCCCCGCCCCCGGGGACCGCAGCGGCGGCGGGGGGGGGGGGGGGGGGCAGGAGGCTCCGCCCTCAGGTGTAAGCCACGCCCCTCGCCAAGCCCCCACCAGCCGGCTTCCACTCAGCTAGTGCAGGGGCCAGGTGGAGCAGGAGAAATGAAAAAGGGGTGCGTGCAGGCTGTTATCAACACCGAGTTGTCTACAGCTCAGAATGCCGGGAATGGAAAGTTGCAAGCAGCCGGGCCTGTGTGGCTCCCTGGTTGAGCATCCACTCATGCACCAAGAGACCACCGGTTTGATTCCCTGACAGGGCACATGCCCTGATTGCGGGCTCCATCCCTGGCAGGGGGCATGCAGGAGGCAGCCACTTCATGTTTCTCTCTCATGTTGATGTTGATGTTTCCCATTGCTGTTTCTATTTCTCTCCCCTTCTCTAAAATCAATAAAAACATTTTTTAAAAAGTTAAAAGCAGCCCTGGCTGGTTTGGCTCAGTGGATAGAGCGTTGGCCTGCAGACTGAAGGGCCCCAGGTTTGATTCTGGTCAAGGGCTTGTTCCTGGGTTGCGGGCACATCCCCAGTCGGGGGGGGGGGGGTGCAGGAAGCAGCTGATCGATATTTCTCTCCCATCGATGTTTCTAACTCTCTATCCCTCTCCCTTCCTCTCTGTAAAAAAAAAAAAAAAAATCAATAAAATATATTTGGGAAAAAAAAGGTAAAAACAATCAGTTGTGAGTGATCTGAAGAGCTCCCTTTTTCCCACCTGCACCCTATCTTCCCTCCCGCACCCGCACCCCTATTTCATCTGGGCATAGGGCCCAGGGAAAGAAGAGACGCCTACTTGTGTGGCGTTGATTCCTGGTGGTGTGGCTACGTGGGGCTCCTGACTTTTCTTCCCAAACCAGAACATGTATTTGTTTTGTTGTAGTTAACAGTTTTATTGAGATTATTTTCAAGACTCTTCCATAAAATTCACATATGTATATTGCACCCATTGCAAGTGGGCCATTCTGTAGTGTTTACCGTATTCTCAGCTTCGCTGAATGCTCACCACTATCTAATTTCAGAACAAACAAAAAACACACCACCAATAACCCTTTTGCAGTCACTCAGTCTCCCCTCCTAAAATGGCAATCACTCATTTTACTTTCTGTTTCTATCGGTTTGCCTGTTCTGAACACCAGATCATTTCTGTGACTAGGTCACCCCAATGTGTGGAAGGAGAGAAAAGCCACGTGAAGTCAGGGCCCCAAGGGAACAGGTGGCTTGGGAGAGGGGAGCAGAGGTAAAGTCTCTTCTGGGCTCTAGGCAGCCTGACACCTGGATGTTTGACAGGAGAGGGGACAGGAGGAGAAGGAGGGTCCTTCAGGCTGAGAGGCCTGGGATAGGGAAGGAAGTCGTGGTGGTGGGGGATCACAGGGTAGCCAGCCTTCAAGTGGCTCGGCAGGGCTGGGCTGTCCATCTGCATGCACTTTCAGCCTCTTATTGCCAAGAGAGCCAACCCCCTGTCGGTTCTGCATCTGAGTAATCGTTGAGGGAGTCATTGTTTCCTGATTTGGGGCCTTTTCCCAGTTGCCCTCAACTCCCTCCACATGTATCCTGACCTTGGGGAGAGGAGCTAGAAGGAGAAACGGGAGAAGAGAGGAGGGCGGGGCAGGAGGGAGATACCGGAGGTGGAGCGGAAGGATAGGTGAGGAGGGCGGAGGAGGGCGGGCGGTGGCAGGGTGGGGCTCCATCTATAAAGTGAGAAAGTCCACTGGCTAGTGGGTAGGAGAGCTCGGCATACCCTCCAGAGGCTGCAGGAGCCCTGTAAACGTTGGTGAGTGTCCCTCGCTGCACTGAGACCAGCTGCTGGGCCCCATCCTCTGCTGCCTGCCTCCCTTGCATTGAGATGGGAGGGGGGTGTTCCCAGTGCATGCTACTATTCATTTGGGGTCCTCCTTACCCCCCTCCCACCTCCCCTGTAACTCCTCAAGGATCAGAAGGAAGAAAACAAATCTGCACCATGAACTTGTGGCTCCTGGCCTGCCTGGTGACCTGCTTCATAGACACCTGGACCCCGGCTGTCCAAGCTCAAGGTACTGTCTGGGGCCATACCTACTCTCCTCCCCTCAGATTTCCCCCTACCCATCCATCCTTCTGTTTCCCCTTCCCATTCGCCCATCTCTCCTCCAAAAGCCTGAGCTGATTTCCACCCTCAGATTCTCTGACTGACAGCTCCCCCGTCCCCGGGCACGCAGACACTCCTGGCATCTGTGCAGCTCTTGGGGCTGCAGAAACACGGTGGTGCCTCCACCAAAGCCCACGACCCAAGACTTTCCTGCAGGGACTCAGTCAGCCAGAGGGTGTGGGAAGCAGAGGGAAGCAGAGCAGTGGCCTAGCCCCTTATCACCAGGGACACACTGCAGTGGCTTCACCTTGTAGAACCCTAGAGACTAGCAGAAAGGGTTCCCCTCCCAGCGTCCCCCAACCCAGGCTAACTGTGGACAGACCGAGGGTCACTACTCAGCCTTCCTGGGCCTCAGTTTCCTCATCTGCAAAGTGGGGCTCCTGATTCCCACTGCAGAGAGAGGGGCAGGAAGATCCAATGGACTAATGCCTGCAAAACTCTTGGCCCAATGCCTGCCAGCAGCAACAATGATTACTGTTATTATTGGGAAATAGCTTCCCTCCTCTCCCTAGATTAGGCACGTGAGGGTTTTGGTGACTAAAAGCCAGTTCTGGGCATGCAAACCCCCAGGAGTGGAGCCCTGCCACTGAGTCCTCCATCCCAGGGGGCCCAGGGGAGGCTCTGAACCCCAGCAGCTGGCAGGGCAGGGTCGAGGTCCCATGGCTCCACCTGCCTGCCCCACCCACCCCTTACTAGGTCTGAAGCCCTCTCCTGTCCCCCAGCGGATTTTAGCCTTTGCCCAGAGGGGGCTGGGCTTAGTTTCCATTGCCCTGGTATCAGCGGCCCATTCCAGCAGCCTGCCGAGCCCAGGCCGAGCCCAGGCCCTTTGATCCTGGGGGCAAAGTGGCCCCACTGAGGAACGGCTTGCCTGACACTGTGGCCCCAGGATCCATTTGACGCCTCTGCCCCTTGCTCCCTGAGGTTACTCTTGCCCTCCCTTCTCCTCCTCCCTCTGGCTTCACTCTGCCAGGGCTTAGTCATGGCCACTCCAGGGGCCGATAGAGGGACAGATGCTTGAAGGCCTCTGTACCATCTTTTGCATCAATTCATCCTTTGCTTCCACATCCCCTGGCACCCGCACTCCCCCCCCTCTGAGTGCCTCTGCTCCTAAATTTCCCCCTCCCTGCATAGACCAACTTCCTGGTCTCCTTGCTGGGCCAGGACATCCCCGATCACAACACTGGGTCCAGTTCCCCTCTGTTTATCCAGACATCTAGCCCTGAGTGGGAACTTTATATGCTTTTGTTCATCTGAAGGGAAAGTGAACAGAGACCTCCTGGGACAGAAAGGAAGTACCTGAGGTAGACCTAGGTGGGGAAAGGCCAGTCTGGAGCAAGAACCAGGCTGTCAGGAACAGCGGGCCAGCCCACTCATTTTAGGAGGAGGGACCCAGATGGGAGTGGTGGCCTCTGACCCCTCCTCAGGGTACTGCATCTGCCCTCCTTGCCCTCTGCCCCAGAGCAAGAGTAGAAATGGCCTGGGTCTCCCATTCATTTTAAGGTCCTGGGCCCTTCCTAGCCAGGGTCTCAGGCCCTCTCCGGCTCCTGCCAGCTGTCCCCATATCAAGGACCAAAGGTGAGTCTAATGGCTTCCTTATCACCTGGGCTCTCCCTCAGCCTCCATGGAGCCCGGGACAGTCACGAGATATGTTCGAGGGTGCCTACATCGGTGGCCGTGCCTGCACACCCAGTGCAAATGCAGCCACACAGACATAGAAAACCGAGCCTGGCCATGGCTGTGCTACTCAATGGTTAGAGCATTGGCCTGTGCACCCATTTTCAGTCAAGGGCACATACCTGGGTTGTAGGCACATCAGGGAAAGCAACCAATGTTTCTCTCAAATTGATGTTTCTCTCTTTGCTTTCTCCCACCTTTCCTTCCTTCCTCCCTCTCTCTCCAAAAATCAATGGAAGAAAACACCCTCAGGTGAGGATTAACAACAAAAATAAAAATGCAGAACAGAAAACTGAGCGTGGGGTGACTGTGTGATTGCAGGTGTCTTTGAGGACTGCTGCCTGAGGCACCATCACCACATTAGGAAGGATATGCTCAAGCGGGCCCACAGTTACCGGGTCCAGAATGTGAGCGGGAGCTGTAACATTCAGGCTGTGATGTGAGTGGGACAAGGGGGCTGGGGCAGGTGGGAGCTCACACATGGCTTTGCTTCCCACTTACACATTAACCTTGCACTTCACTCCCGCTTGCACAGATTCTACTTCCCTCGCCGAGATAAGAAGGTGTGTGGGGACCCAGAGGCCAAGTGGGTACAAAATTGGATTAAGTTTCTGGATCATCAGAAAAAGCATCACCAAGGCACCTCAGGAAAACCCCAAGGTGGGTGAGACCCAGCCCAGCTGCAGGCTCCTGAGCTTCTCAACCCCCAGAGGAGGGGATTGCAGCCCAGCATGCTGACAGCTGCCCCCGCCCCAAAGAAAGCCAGTTGCTGGCTGAGAGGGAGACTGAGTGAATGGGCAACTCTTTTAGTCAAAACACTTTCAATGGCCAGAGATGGGCAAGTCAAGCGAATGGGAAACTCATCAGCTCAAATGACCAGCCAATGGCTTCAGGCTCCGCTGGATCCAGGTGCTCTAAGGGCATTGGTGAATCTATTACCCATTTCTGTTTCCATCTTTCTGGCAGGCTTGCACCCTGTTGGGAAGAAGGTGAGATCTGGGATCTACAGGGTTCAACATGGCATCAGAAGCAACAAGAGGAATGCCTCCCTCCCAATAAGAGCTAATCCAGGTAAGGACGTAGATCACATGACCATCTCTGGGCTCATCATGATGAGGGCTCATGATGAGCCCAGGTTGGGTCGGGGACTCATCAGCAGGACCAAGGAGGATTGGTTCTGTGTCAGCCCCATAGGTTCACATGAGAGCATCCTAGGTGTCCACAGCTGACTCAGCCCAGGAAACTTCAGCTCCATTCTACTCCCTGTCACCTGCCGTCCTCCCCAATTCTCTCCCATCTCTCCTGCAGGACCGTGAGACTGCACATTTCCAGGATCAATCAACACAAGATGGGCTAGAGTTTCTCCAATGTGACTATGGCCTTGCAGCCCCCAGTTGCTCTCTCCTCCAAGCCAACTCTCAAAGCCCCGAGTCTGCGTTGGTTCTCTCACCGCTGCCCCCTCCTGTCCTTAGGCAGCTATAAGGAGGGGTCTGGCCTCATTTCAAGCCCTTTGTTTTCTCTGAGAACCACAGCCAGCCCTGGCCAACGGTCCTGATAAGAAATCTTCAAGGCACACCACCCATTTGCAGTCTTTTGTCACCGGCTCTGGGGCCATACCTGCCTCTGTCCCTCTGAGCCCTTGCAAACCTCTAGTCCATCCAGGGACACTCCTCTTGAGCTGTGCTTTAAAAAATAAACCTTTGGCCGAAACCATTTGGCTCAGTGGTAGAGCGTCGGTCTGTGGACTGAGGGGTCCCAGGTTCGATTCCGGTCAAGGGCATGTACCTTGGTTGCGGGCACATCCCTGGTGGGGGGTGTGCAAGAGGCAGCTGATTGATGTTTCTCTCTCATCGACGTTTCTAGATCTCTATCTCTCTCCCTTCCTCTCTGTAAAATATCAATAATATATATATATATATATATTAAAAAATAAAAAATAAATAAAATAAACCTTTGGTGGGTTATCATTCCTGTCTCTGTCACGTTTCATTATGGGCTGCCAGTCCCAACCTGTGCCAAATCCCACACGATCTCCTCTCACTCCAGAGGAGCAGACACCTCCAGGGGGCCGAGCACTGGATTGTAGATACTGGACCAGGTGCATGTTCAGCTGGCGACCTTGAGCAAACCGCTCACTCTCTTGCTGCCTCCTTCCTGGTTGATAAAGTGGGGTCACATGCTTGCTTTGCCCAGGTCGCTGGGTTATCATAACCGGCTAATGGAGGAAGCCTCTGTGAGCTCTGATGGGTGCCCAGAAGCTCCTGATAGTTTGGCTGAACCAGACCCCAGCGAGGACAGAGTTCAGTGACTGCTCTGCAGAAAGAGGAAGGGGCAAATGTCAGGGTCCAGGCCACCACTCAAACTCAATGTACCCAAATGTGCTGCCCTCAGGCAGCCCGTATCCATGACAAAGAATGTTCTGAATGACAGCAAATGTACCATCTCTAGAGGACAAGAGGTAGTTTGAGGCCAAGGGCCAGATTTGAAGGAAACTGGGTCACATTCAGGCCCCATTATGCTATTGTGATCCAGGCAGATTCCACAAACTCTCTAAACCTCAGTTTCCCCCCTATAAAATGGAGTGATAGCACTGCCTGCCTCAGACAAGTTTGTGGGGACTAAATATATTCCCACTGTGTTGTACACACACACACACACACACACACACACACACACACACACACTGACTACATGTTGCAGGATGAGAATCTCAGCCATCATACTCGATAGAACTGGCCCAACCCTGAGCCAGGCAGGGATGGCACAGCTGCCTGACTTTGAACCCGATTCTGTTGCCTCCAACCTGGAGTCACCTTAATAAGTTGCTTGTCCTTCCTGGGCTTCAGTTTTTCAATCTGCAAAATGATTGAAAGGATGAGGATAGTAATTCCTGTTCCATGAGGCTGTAGTAACAAATGGGTCAATAATTGGAAAGTACTTAGAATGCTGTCCGATATGTAGTATGTGGTATGGAAATGTGAGCCATTTTCATCAATATTAAAATATATATATATATATATTCTTATTGATTTCAGAGAGGAAGGGAGAAAGAGAGAGAGATAGAAACATCAATGATGAGAGAGAATCATTGGTAGGCTGCCCGGCCATGTGCCCTGACTGGGAATCAAAACCCAACCTCCTGGTTCATGCGTTGATGCTCAACCATGGAGCCACACCAGCCAGGCCGTTTTTATCAGTGGCTCAGTTGATGCCAAACACACAGGCCTGAGAATTGGCAGAGCCTATATGCACCCCGGGACCATGTCTCCACTCCCAGATGGAAGGTGGACTCCACCCACCTCTCACCTATAGGCTTTCTGCTCAGAGCCCTGCGCTATAGCTCATCCTCCCCATAGTTCCCGCCCTCTTAGGGTCTCTGGTTCTTCATGTAGCCCTTCAGTGCCTATTTACTTTGAGAACGTGCTAAGGAGTCAGACGTAACCCCCCAAATAACTGTTGTTTTTCCACTTCTGATATAAAGCATCCTTGGAACTCTAGGGGGCATGAACATGGCTGTGTGTCACCAGCTCTGGCTGGGGCCCTGTGGGCCCTTCAGCTTGGAGGGATGATCCCTATGCCCACCTCTGCTGCTGTCCCCATGCCCACCAAGCCCGGGGTGGAGGTGGGGTAAGACCTGGTGCAGTGCAGAAGTTTAGTCTGAGATTGACCAGATACAGTGAATCCCAGGGCCCTGCTTGACCCTAGTGTGGGAGGTGGAGGTGCAGGTCACAACTTCCAGCTGTCTCCAGGAAAGACAATGCAGGGGAGAGGCTTGTCTTGCCTGGGGTGATAACGTAGCATGTCACTCTTCCTGAGTTTTGGGGTTCCACCTGCTCAGCCATTGCAACCAGGGATGGATTCTTAACAGTTCCCAAATACCCTGTCTCTGGAGAAGAGGAGGCATGGAGGCCTTGTAAGGCCCCAGCTTGTCCCCAGGGTCTCCCTGTAATATGTAGCAAGCAGAGTTTCATCTGTTTTCCCCCAAGACCCATGGAATGAGGCTGGGCTGGGTGGTGCCCAGGTGGTGAGTCTGGAGTAGGAGGGCCCTGGGACCAGGCTATCCTAGCCATAGCCAAACCTTCAGCCGCAAAGCCTGGACCCTTGGCCCTGGCTGCCCCTCTGGCCAGATGCACCAGGGCCCTACCACGCTCACCACCTCCAGCTGGTAGGTTACAGGCTCTCTCCTCTGACGCCCCAGCTGCAGGGACCTGCGACCACAGAGGCGATGCATGCAGAAGAAACCGCTCATTGCTGGGGACAACAGCATAGTGGACCTGGCCTCTTTAACTCTCCAGCACAGGCTGCAGCTCCAGGATGTGCTCAGCCCAGCCTAGGCATGAGAGGTTCAAACCCAAGGTCAGCAGGACCTCCACCTCAAAGCTGGCTAGGCTCACCCGAGGAAGAAAAACCAAGTGGATGGATGATGGTTAGAGGCTGGCAGAACTGGAATGTGGTAAATAGGGGACCATGGAGTTATGGCCAAGGGCAGAGTTCAGCCAATCTCTAAAGAGGACGAAAACACAGGACAGCCTCTGCCCTTGACTTCTGTCTAGCCCTCCATCCACAAGGCCAATGGACATGGGCTAGGGATAGAGGCATGAAATCAGAGGCTGGTTCTCAGATGGAAAGCAGAGAGGGAAGGTAGGCCGCCAGTTTTACACACCAACTCCACACCCCTAATCCCTAGAGGGGCTTCAGTGAGATTCCTGCCAGTCTGAGCAGAGAGAATGAAGGGTGTGACCTAAGAGTTCTATACAAGACTCAGTTAGACAGCGTCAGATCCCAAAGGTGGATGGGTGGCTGGAATTATGACCAAGGGCCTTGTAGCAGAATCCAGCCTACGAGAGGATGCCTGACCCAGCACAGTGAGAGAAGCATAAGATCCAGCCGGGCTAGAGAGGGGTTGCCAGAGAGCTTTCCGGTTCGTGGAGGCCTGCTGCCCTTTCTGCGTCGGGGCTTTTTGAGAGCCCTCTGTGTGCAGACGACAAACTCTGCTTTATCCGAGCTCCTGTGAGGATGGTCCTGGTCCTGGCAGCCAGAGAGGGCTCTGATTAAGTCAGCCGGCGGCGACGGCAGACTGACCAGGGCTGGGTGCCATATCCAGTCACACAGGCAGTTAACTGTGTTTCCTTCTCCTTTGCTCTGGGCAGTGCCGTGTTTGTTTTGCCTCATTGATATGCTGCCGGGGTGTTTTGCTCTTGCATCAAAAGTGAAAGCTATTCCTGTTTCCTAACCCATGAGCTCCCGAGACTTCAGTCCTTCCCATTAAGTGTTGCAGACATGTGCTCCTACCAGCACCTACTGGCAGCCTGTGGGTATTGCAGGCAAAGTCACAGAATCCGGACAACCACGCCTTTCCCTCCGAGGGTCAAGGGCTGGTGACACAGTGGCAAGCCCTACAGACACATGGCCCTGCCCTTGCAAAACTTACAGAACATAATGGTAACAATGGGATAGCACGTACGGTCACTGTTTTTTTTTTTGTTTTTGTTTGTGTTTTTTTTTGTTGTTTTTGTTTTCCAGCAAGAGGTTAAAAAAAGGGGGGCGGGGAACAGGGCAAAGTAATCCACTCATGTTTAATCTAATATTAAAAGCCCCTCAGATCCAATTCCTATCCTAGTTCTGCCTTCATTGTTTCCCCAGCATTTATCATGTATCATTTATTTTATTTTTTAAAAATATATTTTTATTGATTTTCCACAGAGAGGAAGGGAGAGGGATAGAGAGCTAGAAATATCGATGAGAGAGAAACATCGACCAGCTGCCTCCTGCACATCCCCCACCGGGGATGTGTCCGCAACCAACGTACATGCCCTTGACCAGAATCGAACCCGGGACCTTTCAGTCCACAGACCGATGCTCTACCACTGAGCCAAACCGGTTTCGGCTCATGTATCATATTTTATCATGTGTTACAAAATACAATGTCTTACTTGTTTCTTATCTGTCTCCCTATTTTTAGAGTATCCGCCCCATGGGGTCAGAGACTTTTTTTGTTTTTTTGTTTTTGTTTACTGTTGCTCCATTTCGGGTTCCCAGTGCACAGTAAGTGTTCAGAAACACCTTTGGAGTGAAGAAGTTTGGTCCTGATGTGAGTAATGGCCTCTCTGTTGACGATTTTGGGAAATAGCGTAAAGTGATGGTCTCCGAGGGTAGTGACTGCGGAGGGTCTAGGATGCCTGGTCGTGAAGACAAGGCCACAGGTAACCAAAAGGCCATGTGCTGCCGCTCTGGAATCCCCTGCTCGGCCACTTCTAAGTTCTGCCATGTGAGCAGAGCTGCAGAGTGACCAACTTCTTTGTGCCTCGGTTTCCTC